AGCCCTCGACGCTGGGAACAGGCCAAGCCTGGACAAGGGCCCCAGTCGCTGGACGCCCGGCTCTAAGGACCCCGCAGAATCCTTCAGCGGCTTGCCTAGTTAAGAGCCTTCTGGTTACCGCACTCCAGGCTTTGGGTGGGGAAACGGAATCCTAGAGAAGCAGGGGCAGCCCGGGAGCCCTCGGAGCTCGTTTTCATTCCCACCGGCTAGGGGTCCGGGTTCTGCCCCGCAGGACAGTCAGGGCTCACGTGACGCGCGGGCGGGACAGTCCTGGGTGCGGGCCCCGGGCTGCCCGCCTGGGCCCCAGTGGCCCGCCCAGGACCGCCTTCGCGCCGTGTGGCCGTTGCTGCGGCAAACTGGCTGGCGTCCCCCGCCCATCTGCTCCAGGCTCCCCTCCCCCGACCGGCTGGCGGGGCAACGGCCACGCCCGCGAACCACACTGCGAACTACTGGGCAGAGAGATAACTGGAGGGATCCACAGAGCCAGCCCGGAGGAGGCCACATGGGGCGGAGCCAAGGAGGGCTCTGTCCAGGGTGCTGGATGAACCCCCCTGTCTCCCGAACCCCACTTCCGAGCTCCACCCCTGCCGCTAGCCCCACATCCCCCTCCTTCAGGGTTCTCCCTGCAGGGTGGAAGAAGACCAATGAACACACTAAGGGGCCCGGAGAAGCCTGGGCCAGGGGAGCCCAGGCCACCCATACCTATCTGTGGCATGGGAAGGACGGTAGGCCACCGTTCATGGACATTTACTGTGTGCCAAGCTCAGGGCTTAATGCTTTAAGGCTCGCGCCTGCATTAACCCTCATAAAAAGTCCAAACAAGGCCGGGCGCAGTAGCTCACGCCTGTAATCCCAGCACTTTGGTAGGCCGAAGTGGGCGAATCACGAGGTCAGGAGATAGAGACCATCCTGGCTAACACGGTGAAACCCCGTCTCTACTAAAAATACAAAAAACTTAGCTGGGCGTGGTGGCGGGTGCCTGTAGTTCCAGCTACTCGGGAGGCTGAGGCAGGAGAATGGCGTGAACCCGGGAGGCGGAGCTTGTAGTGAGCCGAAATCCCGCCACTGCACTCCAGCCTGGGCGACAGAGCGAGACTCCCTCTCAAAAAAAAAAAAAAAAAAAAAAAAAAAAAAAAAAAAAAAAAAAAAAGTTCTAACAAGTGAGAATAAATCATTCAAGATATTTGGCCCAGCAGGGCTTGGAGGAACCTGAGACCTTGTTCTCCATGGTTGAGGCCAATTTGCCTCCATAGGCCTCCCCCAAGACAGTGAATTGCTCTTTAAAAGCCTAAAAAACTCTGGGTCTTTTCCGTCTCATCCCCAGCCCAAGCCACTTAGCTTGACTGACTCAGTTCTGCACCCACAACTTCGCCTGCAGCATCTGCATCTTGGGAAGGGACTGATCCTAGCTCCTGGGAGAAAAAGGCTGAGGGAGGACGCTCCCCCCAACCCCCACCAGGCTTGTGGACAACCATTTGAAGACTGAATGGCAGGGTAGCAAACATCGTTTCCATTGCCAGTTACCGCCAGTTAAAAATATTTCTTCCTCCACTCTCCCATTGCGTAAAGGACTTTAACCAAGTAACCCACAGTTATCTTCAACTCAAGGATTTTCAGGTTTTACTGGTTACTTGGAAGGAGTGGTCTGGAATCAGAGGAGCATTAAAGACAGCTAGGTGGGCAAGTGTCGGGTGCAGGCTTTAGGGGAGCTCTGGCCACCTAGGATACAGTAAGGATACACTCTACCCCGGTCCCTACTCTTGGGAAGTGCACTGGCCCTTGGGTTGAGGAGAAGCCTGGGGCAGGCTGGGGTGAGCCCAGCAGAGGGGTGAGAGAAGGCCTCCTGGGGAGAGAATCTCTAAGCTGATATCTGGAGGGTGGGAGATTATGGGGGTTCTGTGAGCAGAGGGAACCTTGGGTGGAGAGGAAAGAAGAGCCTAGCAGGATCAGCCAGGGAGTGAGGTTTGCCACTTCCATCTGTGTCATCTCAGGCAAAATGCTTTAAAAAACAAAACAAGGCCGGGCGCGGTGGCTCAAGCCTGTAATCCCAGCACTTTGGGAGGCCGAGACGGGCGGATCACGAGGTCAGGAGATCGAGACTATCCTGGTTAACACGGTGAAACCCCGTCTCTATTAAGAAATACAAAAAACTAGCCGGGCGAGGTGGCGGGCGCCTGTAGTCTCATCTACTCGGGAGGCTGAGGCCGGAGAATGGCGTGAACCCGGGAGGTGGAGCTTGCAGTGAGCTGAGATCCAGCCACTGCACTCCAGCCTGGGCGACAGAGCGAGACTCCGTCTCAAAAACAAAAACAAAAACAAAAAAACAAAAACAAAAACAAAAAAAACAAGGCTGGGCGTGGTGGCTCATGCCTATAATCTCAGCACTTTGAGAGGCCAATGTGGGCAGATCACTTGAGGTCAGGAGTTTGAGACCAGCCTGGCCAACCTGATGAAACCCCAACTCTACTAAAAATACAAAAAATAAAAAAATTAGCTAGGCATGGTGGCAGACACCTGTAATCCCAGCTACTTGGGAGGTTGAGGAAAGAGAATCACTTGAACCTGGGAGGCAGAAGTTGCAGTGAGCCTAGATTGTGCCATTGCAATCCAGCCTGGGCAACAAGAGTGAAACTACATCTCAAAAAACAAACAGGCCAGGCGCGGTGGCTCACGCCTGTAATCCCACCACTTTGGGAGGCCGAGGTGGGCGGATCACGAGGTCAGGAGATCGAGACCATCCTGGCTAACACTATGAAACCCTGTCTCTACTAAAAATACAAAAAATTAGCAAGGCATGGTGGCGGGCGCCTGCAGTCCCAGCTACTCTGGAGGCTGAGGCAGAAGAATGGTGTGAACCTGGGAGGCGGAGCTTGCAATGAGCTGAGATTGCGCCACTGCACTCCAGCCTGGGCAACTGAGCAAGACTCATTTCAAAAAAAAAAAAAAAAACACCTCCCCATCTCTCTATGCCTCATTATCCCTAGCTATAAACTGGAAACAATAGCTGTACCTCTCTCACAGCACCTCTGGATTAAATATCCATGCAAAGCGTGGTGAGCACTTGGTGGGTAGTACAGATTTCATAAAAGTGCTACTGCTGGCGTGAGCTCCCTAGGGCGCTGGGGAGGACCCAGTTGACCCGGTGGACATGGGAGAGCCCGGAAAGGACAGAAGCCTGACAGAAGCCTGGCAGGAAGGGCCTGGCTTGCAGCGTGAGTTTGAGTCATGTCCTGAAAGGAGTCTGAGAGGTTGGTCAGCAGGGGTGGGTGCTCACATGTGGCACTAATGGAGATGTCATTAGCAACAGTGGCAGGGACTCAGGGGCATCTGCCCATCCCACTGGAATAGCAATAAAGCATCACCTGGACCTGGCCCACAAAATCACAAAACCATGTGCTAGATGAGCTTGTCCATGACCAAGGTGGCCACCTTAGGAGTGGAGAACACAAATTGCAGGGCCTTTTGGAATGGAGGAGGCGCAGGGGAGGGGTGCCCAAGACACGCCATTTTAGCACCTCTTCCCGACAGTACCCCTGCTGCTTGCTGGCCTCACGGTACACCTGCCTCTGGGTACCTAGAGGAGGACAGCACTGGCCGCAGTGAGCCTGTTGCTCTGGCCACCGCCAGCTCCAGCAGCGAGGCTGCCAGGAAATGACTCCTCCCTCCCTTTGTTGCAAACCACTGGGCAAGGGTCCCAGATCCCAGCGGCCACAGCTCCCATGGAGAGAGTGAGGGCGATCTGGCCAGGTGGAAGTCGTTGGAAACCCACCTGGCTAGGCACGGCCCAGCAGCTCCAGTTACCTGGGCACCTGGGAGCGCGGGAGGCCACCACGCAAGTCGCCACTAGGTGGCAGCCCCAGGGAAGGGACCGGAAGCAGCCCCCGAGTTTAGCACTGTGAGTTTAGCACTATGACTCCCACTGTTCCTGGAAGGGGCTTCCTTCATTCGACGTCATTTCCAGCGCTGACTGTGCCAGGCCAGAGCTGGCGCGGAGTGAAACCTTCAGCCCGCCCGGGTGGGGCCAAGCCCCCACGGGATTCCAGAGGGGGTGGGTGTTGGGACAGGAAGGGCACAGGGTGCTTCAAGATCGCTGATAGGCGGCCTGCACTCCCACAGCCATGTAGCCCCCACCTTCTGTCAGGTTTTCCTCGCGGCCTTTGGGCACTAGCCGCTGCCACGGCTGGTGTTCAGTGGAGCCCGCAGGGTGGCTTGGCACACATTCGCTGTCCTGCCCGCGCCCTCTGGCGCTTTCCTGCGCCCCTGCAGGGGTCTCAGCCCTCTCTGGATGCTGGCGCTCCCGCGTCTCCCCACAAGCCCTATCCCTCCCATCCCTGCCTTCTGTGTGGCTGGAACCCCTCCACCCCGACAGCGGCTGTGGGCGGCCTGAGGCCATGGCGTCTAGATCGAGTTCCCAGCGCACCAGTGGTTCCTGTCCTGCCCTCCTGCCCTCCCCGCTGGAAGCTCTGGGGGCAGTTCTCGGATCTGGAGGGACCCTGGAAGGCAGGGCTCTTTGCACTTTCTGGGGATTTCGACCTAGAGCCCCTCAGGGACGTGGTAGGGCTGCTCCTGCCTCAGGGCCCTTGTCCTCGCGCTCCCCACCTGGAATACCCTTCTCTCCACTCAAACCCAGCCCCACCGCACCTCCTCAGATACCTTTCCCTGTCCGCCCACGCTGTCCGACAATCACTCCCCATCACCTCTGGAATTGCGTTGCCAGCGCCTAGAATCGCAGTTAGCGGGCACTGGGCAGATGAATGAATTTGCCTGTGCCTGGACGGCTCTCCAATTCGAACCCAGTTTTGCTGCGCTCTGGGGTCTCAACTGTTACTTGAGGCAAATTAAGAGAGAAACCTCTGGGCGCCCTGCCCCAGTCGCACGAGTGTCCCCGCGGCGCGGCGGGGGCGAGAGGGGGACTCGGGCAGAGACAGCGGGGCGGGGCGGGGCGGGGTGAGGGCGGGCCGGAGGCTTAAGCCGGCGTCGGCGGGCTCCGGCCCCAGAGCTCAGCCGAGCGGAGCGCCAGGCAGCGCGGAGCAGAGGCCGGGCCCACAGCCGCTCCGCCTCCCGGCCCGCAGATCCCCGACGGCCGCACCGCGGGCTCCTCCGGCTCGCGAGGACACGCGCATGGCGTCCTGGGGAAGGCGCTGAGTTCGGAGTTGCGGCGCCGCAGGCGGCACCATGGCCCTAGAGCAGGCGCTGCAGGCGGCGCGGCAGGGCGAGCTGGACGTGCTGAGGTCGCTGCACGCCGCAGGCCTGCTGGGGCCCTCGCTGCACGACCCGCTGGACGCGCTGCCCGTGCACCACGCGGCCCGCGCGGGGAAGCTGCACTGTCTGCGCTTCCTGGTGGAGGAAGCCGCCCTCCCCGCCGCGGCCCGCGCCCGCAACGGCGCCACACCGGCCCATGACGCCGCCGCCACCGGCCACCTCGCCTGCCTGCAGTGGCTGCTGTCGCAGGGCGGCTGCAGAGTGCAGGTGGGTCCGCGCGGTTCGCCAGGGGCGCTGCGGCTTTCTCCTACGGAGAGGGTCCTGGCCAAGAGTCCCCCGGGGCTCAAGAATGGGTGGGGTTTGGCACCTCCTGGCCCAGCTGAGCCCGGCACGGAGCTCCTTCCAGAGGCCCTCAGGTGAGTGGGCTCCCTGGCTTGCCAGTACTCGGGCAGATGCCCTGGCGAGCCTGGGGGCTCCCTGGAAGCGCACCTGGGTGATGGGAGCCAGAAGGGAGGGGCCTCCGTGGGGCTGGTGCTTACTAGTATGTACCGGGAGAAACAAAGCACCGATCCTGTAGTCCTGGGAGTGGGCGGGGACATGAGGCCTGGGCAGCAGAGTCAGACGCCCATGTCCTCCAGGACCGGATCTGAAAGGAGGCTGGGCAAAGTCCCACAGCCCACCCCAGGCTGAGATACAGGTGTCCCAGCCAGGATGTGGGGGAAGGGTGATGGGCCGTGGTAAATGGTGGTCTGCCCATAACCCAGGCTGACCCCAGGACATCAGTGCTGTCAAGGCTCCCAGTTGTCAGCTGCTTCTCCAACCCAGGCTGATTCTTGCTGCCTCCAGACCCCACCTGGTCACTCTGAGCAGTGACCTCCAAGGGCAGTCCTGGCTGCTGAGAAGCAGGTAGCCAGCCAGGCAGCGGTGGGACAGTTCCAGGCACAGGGAACAAGAAGTGCAGGTCCCTGAGGCGTGCATGCTCCTGTCCTGTTGGAGGGCCAGCCGTAGGCAGCGTGTTCAGAGTGGGTGAGGAGGGGAAAAGCTGCCAGGGCCAAGCCAGAGAGTATCCTAACCAAGGTTAGGGATTTGGATGAAATTCTGGTTGAGGGGGTAGCCACAGGAGGGAGGAACCAGAACTAATTTTCCACTTAGACCACCGGGTGACCTGGAGATGGAAGGAGAGGAGTCAAGGTAACTCTAAACCGGCTTACTATGCCCCAAAGATGGCCAGGCCACCCCCACCTTCTGCCCTCAGATAGCAGGCCCCCCTTCCCACCCTTCTTGGGAGATGGCCCACCTGGTATCTCTCAGTGGGCCCCGTTACCAGGGCTTCCTGGTCACGTGGCCCATGCCCACTCTTTTGGGTGGTGGCATGCCTCCCTGATCCAGTGTCCAGCCCTGGCCAGAAGCCTCCCTGGCCAGTGCAGAGGAACTGGGAGGAGCAGGTGGCCTTGGGCCCAGCTTATCAGGTCTCTTGCCCTCTGGGCCGGGCAGGCTTGGGTGCGGGGGGAGAAAGTGTGAGGGGGATGACCTGGATCCTTGGGCTTGCCCAGCCCAGAGAGATAAGCTGCTTTAGGGTGTGGTCCACCGCACATGAGGCTCCTGGGGCCTGGACAGCTGGACAGCCTGGACAGGCACAGGCCAGAGCCCAGAGGTCTGTGGCCCTCTCCTTACAGTTTTCACCACTGACAGGCCCAGAGCCAGTGGGACCCCTGGAGCCTCAGACCCACAGTCCCCAAGGCCAGTAGGAAGGGAGCGCCTTTCTCAGGAGCTGGGGCTCAGGTCACATTTCACCATGGTTCTGCCCGGGTGCCCGCTAGCCAGCCCCGACCTTTGGGCTCAGAGGGGACAGACTAAACCAGTCTCTGGTCCCCCCCACTCTCAGCTTTCTAGCACACAGGAGGGGCCTCGGTGTTGCCCTCAGCTTCCTGTGGGCCACGACATTCTCTGCCCCGTCTTCCTCCCTGCCTCCTTAGCAGGACCGCCAGGCCATTGCCCCCACCCTGCAGGCTGCCTGAAGACCCTACCAGTGGCCCCAGGGACCCCAGCTCCCTCCGTGACCTCTTTTCCTTGCATTTCTCACAGGAGCCTCAGAGCTTCTCTTCCCACTGTGATTTGGCTTCCTGAGGCCTGGGGTCTCTCGCCAGCTCCTGCTGCCTCTGCCAGTCTGTAACCACAGTGCACTGTCTCTGGGCAAGGCAGGGCAGAGAGGCTTTGCTTCCTGATCCTAGTGAAGTTTGCGCACTGCCTCCTGCAGCCGCGGCCTTGCCTACCCCGCTGTCGTCCTGTGTGCTTGGTGCTGGGAGGTCGTTCTGTTCCCGAACCAGTGCCCACTCTGCCAAGTGCAGCAGCCTCTGTGTCTAGATGTTCCTGGGGATTCTCCTCCCAGCACAGGTCCCATAAGCACTCCCCTCCAGCCCCTTTCTCAGCAGACACACACAGTGGGGTGTCCACTGATGACACATTCAGCAGTTCTGGGCCCAGACCCCTGGCCGCACCCGCTCTGAGGCCCCTGGGGGGAGTTTGGTCCAAGCTCTCCCAGGGGCCACCACTAGCCTGCACCTAGCACCCCTGGCTGACTGCCCCGGACCCACCCACCAGTACCCAGCAACTTCCACCTCAACAGGGGCGAGAACACAGGCTGCTCCTATGGCTGGGCGCTGGCCAGTCTGCTGGGGAGGGGCGCAGTTTTCTGCACTGAAGTTGGGTTGCTGGAGGCGCACTAAGGCGGAGGTCTCTGTTCCCACGTGACACCTAGGAAGGGTGGAGAGAGAGGGGGCAAGTGTTGGATGCAGGGGGTGCCCCCCAGTCCTGGTGCTAGCTTGGTACAGCCCCACAGCCCCCCTTCCTGGCCCTGCTCCACCCAGTAACCCTCTGTCACTCCTTCAGGCACTCCCTGAGCCCCTGGGAGTCAGGGCTGTGGTTCTGGGCCTGGAGCCGGTCTCCTACCGTGACAACCAGGTACTTGTTGTGTAGGCAGCTCGCAGTCAGGACCTGCAGGCCTCTGAAAGCCCTGCATGGTGCTGCTGCCTACTGGCTACGGTTCAGAGAGGGCCAATTAGTTGCCCAAGGACAGAAGCAGGACTCAAACCCAGGATCCACATGACCTAAAAAAAAAAAAAAAAAACATTGCTGAGTGAGGCCTGGCCAATCCCTCCAGGGAAGACAGAGAGAACAGAACCACCCTCCAGGCCTGTGGGAGTCTGGGAGTGGCCCAAGCCAGGGGCGGGGCAGCAACAGGCTTTAGGAATTGAACCGGCTCTCCTCCCACAGGACAAAGACAATTCTGGTGCCACAGTCTTGCATCTGGCTGCCCGCTTCGGCCACCCCGAGGTGGTAAACTGGCTCTTGCATCATGGCGGGGGGGACCCCGCCGCGGCCACAGACACGGGTGCCCTGCCTATCCACTACGCTGCCGCCAAAGGAGACTTCCCCTCCCTGAGGCTTCTCGTCGGGCACTACCCTGAGTAAGATCACCCCTCTTAAGGGGTACTCTGGGTGGGCTGGGCCAGGGCTTTGGGGGATGCCTGGGATTTTCCACGCCTCTCTGACACTCCAGGACAAAGATCCCTCCAGTGGCCATCCTGGGGCCAGAGGGCCAGGCCAGAGAAATGGCTTCCACTCAACATGAAATTTTCCCCTCCTGGAAAACCCCTTTTGGGGCTGTCCCCAGAGCCCTGCAAGCAGGTGCTCCCGGCATCCTCAGCTGCCCAGCCGCACGCAGCTGGGCCTGGGAGGCTGGGCACGCAGGCCAAGGTCACCTGTTCCCCTTGGGCTGCTTCTGCAGCAGAGGCTCTCTCTGGCTTAGGCTGTGTTCATTTGCAAGACTGTTCAGGATGGACTGGAGAGCAGCAAGGGCAGGAGCACCTCCTAGGCCCTAGTCAAACAGGCGGAAAGGGAACCCCATCAGTTACTCAAGCAGTTAAGGGAGAAAGGCCCTCCCAGACCCCCACCCCACCTCCTGGCCCCAGAACCCCTGGCTGGAGGCCATCCAGAGAGCAACTTGTTATCTCCTGTGGCCTCTCAGCCCATTCCCACTATCAAGGGAAGCACGGGGCTCCTAAACCTCCTGGGGAGTGGGCTGGGAGCTCCCCCGGGTGGGGTGGGGGGTCATACAGAGCAGGGGGCACGTGTGAGTCTGGGGGAGGGAGGGAGGGACTCAGGTCCTAGGTGCACCTGGAGAGGCAGGCATCCTGGGGAAAGCTGCGCAGGCCCTGTCTGAGAGGGTAGGGTGCCAGATGCCACAGGGGTCTCAATGGGGAGTGGGGTGCTATGATGGTGAACCCTCGTTAGTCTAAGTGGGAGCCTGAGATGTAAATGTGAATGTGGACCCAGCCTCAGGACAACAGCAGCTACGAGGTAAGAGGGTCTGGCCTGTCCCCACCACTGGTCAGTTTCTGGGTGTGCCTGCAGGGCCCCTGGCCACCAGGGAGCAGGCTGAAGGTCAGTTCTGGCCATATGACCATGTGGCAAGGTGGCTACAGCAGCTGCAGCCTCTTGGGCCCAGGCACACTGGCGTGGATGTAGGGTAGCCCTAGCACCCACCAGGCCGGGCTCCAGTGGTCCCCTTGGCCCAGGACAGGGGAGCTGGGCCTGGTTCCATCCTTACTAAAAAGGGGCTCCATGGTTTGGTCAGTGGGAGACCCAACAGGTGCTGCCCCGGGGAGGGGGCGCTTCACAACCAGCCCTGCCAGGCCTTCTTGGTGGCCGCTTTGGTATGAATTCACTGCTTCCAAACAAACTAGGGTTTGGATCATGTCAAAGTCAGTGGGATTTAGAGCAGGAGGGCCCCAGGGACCCTTGAGTAGAGGGTTCCAACTGGCTCCTGTCAGCACCTCTTGGAGGCTGTCCCAGATTCCTGAGTTAGACTCTCCAGGTTGGGGCCTGGGAGCCACACCTGGGACATGTCCCCATCCTCACAGCGGTGATTCTGATGCACCTGTCCCACTCCCTTACTTCAAGCAGAGGAGAAGGACAGGTCTTGAGAGGGGCAGGTGCCCCTGATGGCGGGACCAATATGGCCCAAGTGTGAACTGGAAGACGCTGAGCCCACCTTCTGCAAGCGCTGGTGAGGACCGCCAGTCCGAGCCTTCCTCACTGAGAAGCCAGGTCTAGGATGAGCCACGGTCCCTCCATGGGCCCGGATCCCAGGTGTTAGGAAGACTGGCTATGCTGTGGAACGCCCTCCAGGGCTCCAGGGCTGGGGGACCCTGATCCCCTTCCAGACCATGCCAGCTGCTGCGTGTGACTGGGCGCTGGTGCTGACCCAGTGGCCAGATGGCCTGGACTGATGAGCCGCCAGCCCCCCAGGAGTCACCATGAATCTCAGGGAGGTGGACAGAGGGCCTGGGCTCCATTTCCCACAGCGGTGTGTGACTCGGCTGATAAGAAGGTGTCTTTGTGTGGTTGCCAGGCTGGGCTCATGCAGGAGGGGCAGCTGGGAACTGGGGTTGGGGGCTGGTGTACCCACTTAACCTCCTACCTTGGGAGTAGGGATTCCTGCTCACGAAGGCTGTGGATATGAGGGCTGGGAGCTGGGGAGGGCAGAGGCTTGAGCTGCCCCAGGCCACAGGGCGCAATCAAGGGACCCAGGTGGCCCAGCTTCATGCTCTTGCGAGCCTCTGAGGCCTGCTGTGAATGGCTGTGAATTATTCACAAGGCTCAGCTCTCTCGCTGGCCCGTGGGTGAGCGCCGAGGGAGGAAGGGCTCCCGGACCTGCTGGTGGGAAACTCGATCCTGCCCAGGGAGTCTGTGGGTGACCATGGGAAATGGAAGTGACACACTGCAGAGGGGCTGGAAGGCTGGACAGCCTCGGGAAAGCTCAGCTAATTCCAGGGCTACACCTTGGGGTGTTATAATAGAAAACGCTTCAGATTGCAGGAATGCCCTGCACATCCCCCACACCTCCCCGTCTATCCCGTTCATGGGGCCAAGTCTTCCCAGAAGCAGGGGACTTGTCACAGTGACCTCAGGGGCTGCTGCCACGTGGGACCCTCCCTCTGGGCCCTTGTAGAAAAGGGATCTCTCATACAAATTAGCCAGGCATGGTGGCACATGCCTGTAATCCCAGCTACTCAGGAGGCTGAGGCAGGAGAATCGCTTGAACCCGGCAGACGGAGGTTGCAGTGAGCCAAGATCGTGCCACTGCACTCCAGCCCGGGCAACAAGAGTGAAACTCCGTCTCAAGGGGAAAAAAAGAAAAAAGAAAAAGAAAAGGGATCTCTCAGTTGGGAGACATGGGGCTGGCAGGAGCCGGGCTGGGCAAGTCCCAGGCCCTGGGTCTCGGGGAGATTGAGTTGGGAGGGTTGACTCTCCTGGCAGGAGCTCCAGTGGCTGATGAAGGGGCGGATTGAGGGTCCAGACCCCCATTCAGGGCAGAGTGAGGAGGGGCGAAGAGCAGGTATCCCCAAGGCTGGTGGCCACCCTCCCAGGAGGGTCCTGGAGCCCAGGAGCTCACTCTGACCCCCTCACACCTGCTTCTGGCTGCCCCAGGGCCTGAGCAGCTGGGCAGGGCTGTGAGGGTCGGGGAGCCTGGGCTCAGCTGGGACCCTGAGGCTTGAGCTTCCAGGCTGGGGAGTGAGGAGGCTCCAGGCTCTTCCCCTGGGCTCCTGGGTGCTGCCAGTCACAGCAAGCGGGCAAACCAGTTAGCCCAGAGATTTTATCAACTTCAGCAGGTGCCTCCTTCCCCCAAAGCCTCCTCTACCCCAACCAGACTAGACTGGAGTGCGATTGGAAAGTACCTGGGGCTGGGTACGGTGGCTAACACCTGTAAGCCCAGCACATTGGGAGGCCGAGGCAGGTGGATCACCTGAGGTCAAGAGTTCAAGACCAGCCTGACCAACATGGTGAAACCCCGTCTCTATCAAAAAATACAAAAATTAGCTGGGCGTGTGGCCAGGCTATGCCTGTATAGGTGGCACATGCCTATAATCCCAGCTACTTGGAAGGCTGAGGCAGGAGAATCGCTTGAACCAGGGAGGCGGAGGTTGCAATGAGCCCAGATCATGCTATTGCACTCCAGCCTGGGCAACAGAGCAAGACTCTGATTAAAAAAAAAAAAGGAATGAACGAAAGAAAGGAAGGAAAGAAAAGAAAAAGAACCTGGTGCTGAGTATCTTCTAGGAGTCTGGCAACACCCAGTGTCATCTGAGCCGCACAACCACCCCTAGCAGTAGCTCTGCAGTCAGCCCATTTTACAGATGGACTCATTCAACTAAGGCTTATTGAGCATCTTCTATGTGCCAGGCAATATTCGAAATGCCAGTGATATGCTGGTGAACCAGACAAGTGTCCCTACCTCGTGGAGCTGACAGGTACAGAAATGGTGTTTTAGAGAGGCTGATCCACCAGCTGTGGTCATCACTGGCTTGCTGTGTGGCCTTGAGCAGGCTGTACCTCCTCTCTGGGTCTCTCTCCCACTCCTGGTCCAGTTCCTAATCACTCAGGGCCTTTCAAGTCCACTGGAGACTTCCCCTTTTCCCTTCCTTTGTGCAAAGCTTCACAGAGCCTAGCTGCTCCCACGGCCCAGGGGTTCAGGCAGCCCCGACCTGGGACACAAAGGGGGTTTCTTAGGAAGCCCTAGCAGCTCTCAGCTTAGGCAGCCCCAGGGCCCAGGGCTCAACTCTCCCCCTTAGAAGGCTGGAGGCTCTGCCTGGGGTGGTCCTTTTCCCCACTAGCCCCCTGATTCTGGCACAGGCCGTGGGAGCTCATTCCTTTTTAATCACCAGCCCCAGGTCTACCCATGGTGTCTGTCAGTTCAGCCGGTAGCAGGGTGTGGGGGCGGGGCCTGTGTCCACACTGAGGAGGTGGCTGCCATCCTTGACCCCCTGACCCAGGCGGAGGCTCTGAGAAAGGAAGGACCTGGTAGAGTCCAGAGAAGCCCCTCACAGCAGGAGACCATCTCATGTCTCCACCAGCAGCTCCTGGTCCCAGCTAGTGTGCCTGCCCTACCCTTCTAAGGGGGAGAGCTGAGCCTTGGGCCCTGGGGCTCTGTAAGCAGCGCACTGCTGGGGCGTCCCAGGGCTTCTGAGAAAACCCCTTTCTGCCCCACATGGGGGATACCTGAACCCCTTGGGTTCAGATGGGCCATGGGAGCAGCCAGGCTCTGTGAGGCTGTGCACTAAGGAAGGGAAAAGGGGAGCCTAAAAGAGGAGCCAGTAAGCCTAAAAGGCCCGGGCCTTCGCCCGTCCATCTCCACTCGCAGCCTTTGAAAACACAAGTCCTGCTGGGTGCGGTGGCTCACACCTGTAATCCCAGCACTTTGGGAGGCTGAAACAGACAGAACACGAGGTCAGGAGTTCAAGACCAGCCTGGGCAATATGGAGAAACCCCGTCTCTACTAAAAAATACAAAAATTAGCTGAGTGTGGTGGCACGTGCCTATAGTCCCAGCTACTCCGGAGGCTGAAGCAGGGGAATCGCTGGAACCTGGAAGGCAGATCGAGACCATCCTGGCTAACACGGTGAAA